CCCAGAGCCGGCGCTACCCTACAGGCGGACTGGGAGGGGGGCCCCTTTAAGACAGCCGCTGCGGCAGCGATAACTCCTCTCTGCGCTCCCTCTCTCTCCTCCCAGCCGCTGCAGCTTCAGAGCGGCCAGGAGGAGAGAGAGGGTGCGCTGACAGGTGTGGTCAGAGCCGCCTCTCAGCGCAGGTATGAAGAGCCGAATTTGCCACCAGGGAACAGAGGAGGGGCAGGGATCCTTTTGATGAGGTGAGGGACATTACGTTCCTGGGCGTCTGACGTCCCTCCTTATTTTTAGATTTTGGCCTAACTATACTGACAGGAAAGTGATACACTATTTTCTGTTTTATGTGAGACTTTACTTTGATTTAATAATCCCTCTTGTTCCAGGAACACAGTTAAATCAGATCAAATGACACTGCAACATGCAAACAACTTATTTTACTGTAAACAGAAAACACTGCCGTGATCTTCAACAGGTCAGTACACATAGTGTAACCCATGTAGAGCCATGACACTATGACAGACGTACTGTATGAGCAGCTAACCATGTAATTGTAATAAGCTGCAGGTTTGGGGAATCCTTTCAACAGTACCAAGCTGATGTAAACGAAACAGGGATGGCTGCATGCTATAATGTCTGCAGATAAAAAATGTCTGTCACTCTTGAATTATGCTGACAACTTTCTTTTATGTGTTCATGTGAAGAAATGTAAATAGCAGAGGGTTGAATCCTATTGTTAGAACTTCGAGGCCCATCTATGACCTGATAACACCCAAGTTTGTGCTTTGCATTAGCACACACCATCACACACAGGCTGCTGGATAAAAACAAAGACTGAATTGAATGAGTGCTTTCCAGAAACTAAACAACTTTTTCTTTCACAAAAGGTTTATTTGGGTTTTATGAAGCAAAACGTGCAAGGAACAGTGAAGACCATGCCAAAAAAAAAAAAATTGCGATAAGGCACAACATACCTCAAGGCAATTAAAATGCAGGACGTTGTTATACAACCCAGGCTTAATAATAGCTTTCTAGCCAAAATAAAGCAGTACAATAATAATGGTTATGCCAGAAACCAACCTGACAGATTAGATCATGCTTTAACAATTTGACCAGAAAGAAAGGAACTTTCTGGGTATCTACCCAGCGGTAGAAATTACAAAGTTTAAAAAAGAAGGGGGAGAAGGTGGATGAGGGAAGATAAAAATAGAAAATAAATAAATGGGGACATTTTAAATAGGAAGAGACAAAGAAAGGGGAAATAGAAAGGGGGGAAGAGAGGTCTACCCAAGGTGCCACCCGGTCATAGAGACTATATGTATAAGAGATCCTGATTTAGGCCAGAGGAGCCCAGATAATCTACATACACTATCGGGGTCATTTAATAAGCCGAGGAGCAGTAGTAAACAATTGCATACAAAGGGCTTACTTCTCTCACTGTTCTTGGAGCTGTACGGGCTATTGTGAATAGCCCGTACAGCACCCCTTCGGTTCTACCGAACCAAAGGGGTCCTGGGGCCGAAGCTAGCCGAAGGATTGGCCGAAGCTACGGCCAGATCCTTCGGCAGCTTCGTGAATAGACCCCTATATGTAAGAGAGGTTTTTTGAGAGGTTGTGCGATTTCAGTGGCCCGACGAGGCATACCCTATCAGAGATCTACGCTGCTCTTTCAACAGCAACAGAGCCCGGGAAACCGGCATTTCTGACACGCTGGGAATAAGAACTAGGGATCACTCTTTCAGACGCCCAATGTCGGAATATAATTCACTTTACCCTGCGATCATCGATCTGTACTAAATATCAGGAGACTAACTATAAGATCCTTATGAGATGGTATCGAACACCGGCACTCTTACACAGAATATATGGTGGAGTTGCCAACGTCAACAGGTGGACCCCTAGGTTTCCACATCTCTGCCTATCAAAACTGTGGCTTTATACACACTAAAGCATATAAGATATGCATTGCAGTCGCCCCAAATGCCCGGATGTTGCGTATGATATTATGTTGTTCCCGTTTGATCCTTGGTTAACTAGGCGACTGGGGCTAGGAGATATATGCTTCCTACGTTTGTAACTGTACGACATAACTGTACGTTATGTGCTTCCTACGTTTGTAACTGTACGACATCATTACTCGAATCTATATGTGTTATATGTTTACTGTAAAATGTTGGCTCAAACTGAAAAAGAAAGAATTAAAAAAAAAAAAGAAAGTATATGTAAAGCTTAAAGGAGAACTATGAGGTGAGTGCTTTTCACTCACCTCATAGTTCTAGCCGACCTGTGACAATGAGACTGTCACGGGTCGGCTCAGTAGATCGGGAGGTGAGCGAACACATACTGGCGTTCGCTCACTTCTCGATCCTGTCACGGCTCTCTGCCGTGACAGGGGAGGGGCTGGATTACCCCCTCCCCGCTCCGATCCTCCAGCGCTGACTGGCGGAACGGACGTGGGAGGGGGCGGGTACAGCTGGCTCTGCCTCTAGATAGACAGAGCCAGCTGTCACTCATGCAGCTGGGCGGATCCTGACATCATTGTCGGGATCCTCTTCAGCTGCGGCGTCTCAGTATACCGCGAGCTATACTGAGCTTAGGCTGACGGGAGGACGCTAGTTTGTGTCCTACCGTTACCCTAAGGAGAACTATGGGGAAAAGCCCTAACCCCATAGTTCTTCTTTAATGATTACATTGTGAAGATCCATGTATTTTTTTTTCTCAGAGACACAGCAGGGAATAAGAGGAGATCTCTCCAAAGTGAGGTGATTTTCCCCTCTTAGACAGTGTACACCATTACCCATTTGAAGATTGAAGCTGGCCATACACTGCTTGCATACATCCTGCTACAATACAAATTGAAGCTACGGTATGTGTGGCCCTGCCAGCACAACCTGACTAAACAAAAGTCAACTATTGTTGGCTGAACAGTGACAGCTTCTAACCAATAGCCTGGCAGAAGTGATTCGTCAATCCATGCTGCCTTCAGCCCACTGACTGAACACAAGAAATGTATAAGTGTATGGCTAGCTTTGCTCTCACCTCCCTCTCCTGTGACAACTCAAACATTTTGGATTCCCATTAATTTCTGAACAAAAGACATTGGCCACAGGACAAATAGAGAGGATGAATCT